CCTCACTGGCAACATACAGCAAAAAGTAAAATATGGCTAATGACCACAAGAAGAACCCTAGGCAAATCTTAGGGATTAAAAACGAAAATAGCCTATTTGCTATACACGCAGTATTAAGACCCAAAATAACCAATGGATCACTAATCTGGTGGAACAAAGCTCAACAAAAAGTACCTACCCAAACATTAGGCAGCATATAAAGACTAGCAAACCTATGTATCACAGGGGCAATGAGAACAACCCCAACAAATGCATTAGAAACTCTGCTAAGTCTACCTCCACTGGAAATATTTATACGAGGAGAGGCTAGGAAAAGCTCACTTAGGCTCCAGGAACAATTAAATTGGATAGGAACTAAACAATTCGGGCATCCAACCATAATCAACAAAATCAGACACCCATTAGAAATGGGGATTGACTATATGATCCCGAAAAAATTCTTTACAACTTCCTACAAAGTCTCAACGGACTATAAAGGAGAAGAAGAACACAAGAGAGCATCAGATACTCTCATATGTGTATACAGATGGCTCCAAAACAAACGAAGGAACCGGATCGGTCGTTTTCTGTACAAGCCCAAAACATGAGCATCAAACTCATTAGGGAAGTACACTTCGGTCTTTCAAGCAGAAATACATGTCATCAATGTTTGTACCCTGGAAAAACCTTAAAAGAGGTTACAATGGCAAAAAATCCTCATAAGATCTGATAGCCAAGCAGCCATTAAAGCATTGGCATGTAAAAGAATCACATCAAAATTAGTCAGTGAATGCTTCCAATGTCTCCAAACCTTGGGGGAACACAACAACCTGATATCTTGGGTGCCAGGGCATAGGGAAATTTTGGGTAATGAGAAAGCAGACAGTCTGGCCAGAGGAGGATCAAGACCTATACTTGGGATAACAAAAACAAATATAGAATCCTCCATCGCAGAATGGATCCAAACAAAACAAAATGAGAAGTGGGTAAACTCTAGCGGTGTTAGACATAGCAAACGTATGATGAAACAACCCTCACCAAGACTGGCAAAATCATTGCTGAAATTGGAGAGGGCCAAACTAAGAGGAGAGGTAGGGCTACTAACTTGTCACTGGCATCTGAGAAAACATCTACACAACATGGCCATATACAACGACGATCCCATCTGCGAAGAGTATGAAACAGCCAACCATATCACCTTCGAATGCTCAATGGAGATTTAACCTAACGTATGGAAAAAAACATAGGGAATCAAATTATAGCAGAGACAGTCAATGACCTGATACTTCCAAGGAGAACGATTGAGTCAATTGCACTGAACTAAGGAACTAGGAAGGTACAATAAACCAAAAGGGTGCAATGCCTGGGGAGCACAAACCCCGCTTCCTAGTATACCTTTTTTACCATACCATAACCTATCTCAATCTTTATCAATTTCTCTTCCACGCCTCTCACACACACTCACTCTCTCTCTCTCTCTCTCTCTCTCTCTCTCTCTCTCTCTCTCGGTCTCCCTCCAATTGTAAGAGATTATCATGCGCGACTAAATTTGAGATTTTTTTTTTAATTAAACGATATTCATTCATTCTCTCTGTCCCTCTCGTTCATTAAGACCTTATCTGTGACAGAACGTCAAAACACAACAATCCTTCACCACCTGTGAGAAAATTATTTTGGCAATCAAACCCACTGGCGGACGTTCAAACGGATTAACTCGGAAGGCGAGGCTGTGCGGACCGTAAATAATCGATTTTTTTTACTTCAATCACCGATCTAGAAACCTTGAGATACTTTAATGTTTGTGGTTATTTATCGGTATTATTGTTTCAGATATTTTGTTGTTCGTATTGTTAAGAGGTTTTTTTGGGGAGAATTTGAAGGCAGGTGTCACGGTGATTTCTCATCTTTACTCCATATGCACGCCCGAGTTGTGGTATTTCTAGAATCAGGCAGACCTTGAAAACAACAGGGTTTTTTGACGAAGGAAGGCGCAGTTAATTGAAATCGTCACTTTCAAGGGGGATGACAAATTGAGAAAATGTTTAGGGAAGTCGTCCGGAACGGGGTCGACCGTCTTCCTTCTCATCTGGCATTGGCCGGTGCCAAAAAAAAGTGTACCCTTCCGCTGACTGGCGTAAAATTTCAAACGCAAATAATACCGTGTTTTTAAATTTTAAATTAAATTTTAAAAAACCTTCGGTCCAAATTTATACAAATTCCACAACGGCACAGTTTCGATCTCTGTTTATCTGGCCTTTGAATTTTTAGAATGAGGCCAAATAGAATCAATTTTTCAATAAAGGCTTCTAGTTTTTTTTTTCTTCTACCCCGGCAGGCCATTGTCCTGGGTTAATTCAATCCGGCTGTTTCCGATAGGACAATCAGAAAATCTAATAAGCCGTCGAGGTTGAATCACGTTTTTAATACAAGTGGAAGGACAAGATCAAACAACATACAATAGGTTCATTTTCCTAACCATTTTTCCTTTTCTTACAGGTAAAAAATATTTACACGCCAGTTCGTCCATTAAAGAACCGATTTGACATTTTTTTATTATCTTAACGATGAACAAATTTCGAGTTTCCCGAAAGTAGGGATCGTTGTGTAAGCTTCGGTTGTGAATTTGCAATAACATACCATAGATAAATAGACGTGAATTATTTCTAAATATCAACAAAAAACTGTTCTTTACTATTCGTAAAGTAATATATAATAATAAATTTATTACCAATCAGGCTTTAGTTATGTCTGAAGTAAGGGACCTTGGATAGGCTATGATATTGTGTGATATTGTTCTAACAGAAAGATATGGATATAGAAATTATTCCTAAAGTAGAAAACCATGGTTAGCCTAAGGTTATTGTTCATCCGTAAAACATAACTTGGAAAGACGTTAAAAATTAACTTAAAAGTAAAAAGCCATGGATAGCATATGGTTTGGTAATATTCGTTCGTACAGAAATGTATCATGGATAATAAACTTTTATTAAAGAATGGACCTGTAGTCGAATAGTAGAATAGAAAAAAATATCTTCCATAAAATATACAATGGATAGCCAGATTCCTAAGTAGAGCATCACAGATTTTCTTTCGATAGAGTGAAATTGTTCTTCCATAAAATATTACCATGGATAAACAAATTATTCCTAAAGTAGAGTATCATGGATAGACTAACATTCTTTTTCCATAAAATATACAGACAATAGATAAATTATTCCTACGGACGGTATCAAGGATTGTCCCTCAACAGACTGAAATTGTTCTTCCATAAAATATTACCATGGATAAACAAATTATTCCTAAAGTAGAGTATCATGGATAGCTAAGGTGAGTATCCAGTCCCTCAATAGACTGGAATTGTTCTTCCATAAAATCGTCTATCCATGGATAGACAATTACATCTTAAAGTAGCGTATCATGGAAAGACTATGTTTAGATCAAAATTTTTCTTATGTAAAATATACGAAGGATAACCAAACTATTCCTAAGTGGAATATCATGGATTGTCCTCCAATAAATTGCAATTGTTCTTCCATAAAACATTACCACGGTTAGACAAATTCATATTGAAGTAGTGTATCATGGGTAGACTATGTTTAGACCGAAATTTTTCTTATATAAAATATACAAAGGATAGCCAAACTATTCCTAAGTAGAGTATCATGTTTTGTCCCTCAATAGACCAAAATTATTCTTCCATAAAATATTACCATGGATAGACAAATCATTCCTAAAATAGAGAATCATGCTTGGATGGGTGGATGGTATTTATTATTCTTCTATGAAATAATTTATAGATATACAAATTGTCCCAGAAACTTTGAATCCAAATTTCTGAAAGAAAAATTTTGGTCTATTCGTATATTAAGAATAGTTAGTCTATCCATGATGGCTTTCTGGAAAAACAATTCCATTGTATTCACGGACAATCCATACATTTCTCTATAATTTCAGTCTAAAAATATACTATCCATAGTGCCCTACCTTAGAATAATTTGTCTATCCATGAATTATTTGTGGAAGATTTTTTTTTTACGAACAGTTAGACTATCAATAATCACGATATCGCTGTACAAAGGGTTGTTCACTTCAAAAAACCTACGTATTACAAAATGTATTAGAGCGAACGTTGCACATCGGGTACGTGTCATTGATCAAATGTTTACTCTTGCTGTTTTTCTTGTTTTTTAATCTAAAAGGTTTAGATCTGCCGCTTCTATTTTTAAAAAAAATTACGAATAAATTTCAGAATAATAGTTAAATATAAAAGGCTCTGGGGTTTGGTCTAGCCAAGTCGAGTCCCCTGCTTAAGGATTAATTGAGTTGCGCCACTCTGTAAAATGCAATGTCGCAATGCGTAGCTTTTGGGGTAAAGAAGACACGGCGAAAAACCGTCGAATTAGGAAATTGGGTCTGGCCGGTCTCGCTCCTTCTGATGTCGAGGGTGCCGTAGGTCAATAATGTTCAACGTCGAACCGATCGACGCGCCATTCGCGCAACGTCCCGCCAGTAAAATCGGCGGCAAATCGTCTGTTTTTTTATACTTAGTGCGGTCCGACTGTTCTCGCTTTTTGACGATGGGCAAGTTTCATTTAAAAAATAAATAAATAAATCTGGGTTCGCATGGTCTCGATTTTTTTTTAAATATATTTTTGACTATGGCTCAAATGCAATCCAGAGGAGCTTTCGGCGTGAAATGATTTCGGGGCATTTACGGCCTGTTTAATAAGCGGTTTAATGTCTGACCCTTCCACGATTCTTTATTTTTACTATCTACTGAAATCTATTAATAAAAAAGGTTGATTTTTCACGAATTTGAAGGTTTTTATGGAATAATGAGCCTTTTCTCGCTTTCGTCATTGTAGGCTGATCTTGATGGTCTTTAAAGGAAGAAAAGAAGGGTGAATTGTTAAAAAATGTATATTTAGGAAGGGTGGGTGCTTTTAGAGGGTAGATTGAGTGCATGTCTTTTTGATGTTTTGGGTACACTATTTATGTTGGAAGTTAATGTGAGTACTCACTTGCAGGTGATCGATGAGCGTTTCCAGTCCTCGATCGGTGACGCTGGAACACCTGAGGCTAAGGGAATGTAAGTGCTTCCCGCTGAGAGGGTAAGTGTGGACCAGGTCGATGGCGTCCTCGTCCGCTGCCGAGAGCAAGGCGACGTTGTGGAATCCGCGTCGTACGAAGGACGCGTACAGCCTGGACCTTTCGTTCTGCGATCGCAGCTCCCTGCACCGTACCACAGGCAGTAGTCCGGACCAGTACCGCGGGTTCCTGTAGAGTACGTCCCTCCATTTTGAACATACCTGGGCCAGTGCCCTTCTTTCCAAGGGGCTGAAGTATCCGAATAGGCATAGGAGGAAGGCGTCGTCGAGGAGGATGTTGCCGTGGCCGAGCCGAGCAGCGGAGAGCGTGGACCTCCTCGGGGGCGGTACGGGCCGTCCGCCGCCCTTGGTGAAACGAGCCGGCTTCTCCGGTGGTAAGCCGCCGCAGAGGGCGGAAGTGACGCGTTCCACGACCCCAGGCTTGCCCTTCGATTGCTGAGACCGTCTGAGCCCGTTGATCCTCTTCGAGAGCTCAGCAGAAGCCCGTTCGACCACCCCTTGAGCCGTGCTCATCACTACTGAGGCCCCGGACACTCGCGCGGCCGCCCCTCCCGGCGCAGGACGCCTGCCAACTCTGCCGCCCCCTCCGCCAGTCGACCTTTTAAAACGTCCGCAGTCAAAACCTGCCTGGGTAGCCGACCACGTGCCTGCCTTTAACCAACTTCAACCACAATTTCTCCATTAATAAACAATAAAATATTTAAATATCTCACTTTTCACAATAAACTCACTTTTTATCCCTCTTCTTCCTTTTTTCATAACAAATGGCCACTTTTTATATTCTTCTTAACCAAAAAGCACTCAATTTACCCTAACACCGCTTCAGTTTTGATAATTAAAAAAAAATTACCACCTTAACATAACAAAAACAGCTTTCGAAATTATGCAATTGATAAATACAAGCTAAATCGCTCTTATAAAATGATATCCTGTGTAAAATTACACGGCAAAAAAAAATTGTAAATGATCATCCTTGCCTGCTTAATTTCTCAGGTTCTGTTCAAACATCGCAATCTTAGTAAAAGTAAAATGCCAGATAACGCGGTATTACGGTTCAGAATTGGTTAAACATGAAAATGCAGGTTGGGATAAAAAGGATGGTTAAAGAAAAGTATGAAAGTTTAGTGACATCCTTAACAAAGAAATCGAACAACTGATCCTTTCAATTCTAGATGCAAATGGCAAGAACACAAGAAAGGTTTGGAATTTGGGCCAGGGATAGTTGGTTTTGGTTAAGGATAATAAAATGATAATCACCAGACATACCATCATGGTTTGGAATTGGTTAATGGTGGACTGAGCTGGCTATGGCAAAAGGCAAGAACTTATGAAAGCTTTGGAATTTGGGCCAGGGATTACGGTTTGGAATTAGTTAAAAATGAGTATGCCAGCTGGGATAAAAAGATACTGCGATATTTTTGAAAATGAGGACAGTTAAAGAAAAGAACAATATGACAGTTTAGTGACATCCTTAACCAAGAAATCTGATCCTTTAAGATCTAGATGCAAAAGTCAAGAACTCATGAAAGCTTTGGAATTTGGGCCAGGCATGGTTGGTTTTGTTTAAAGGTGATAAAACGGTACTATACTAGATATACCATTACAGTTTGGAATTGGTTAATGGTGGATTGAACTGACTACACAAACAATAGTTAAAGTTGGTTGTAAATGACTGATGTTATTTAACATTGAGAATGAACATATATCACGGTAACCAAGCACTTACGAAAGCTTTGGGGGATTAAGAAAAGTTCTGGTACAATAGATCCTTTCGGTTGAGATAAAAGAGGCTTTGAGCCCACCTCTTTTATCCATAGAAAAAGTTATGGATGTTTATAAATGGTAAAAGATCGATATAGATGGTTAAACACAAGGTATCACATCAGTTTAAGTAGGGATGGTACATTATTATTAGATAGTTATTCAGATATCGGGAGATACGGTCGGGTGTGAAGTAGGTTTCAGAAAAACATTTTCTTTATCGTGCCAATGTTTCGATCTTTTATTGAGATCATCTTCAGGGCTCAAAGTATTTGTCTTCTGTGTAATTGTGCCATCCTTGCGTGTCGTGTTGAGAGTGCGCCACGACACGCAAGGGTGGCACAATTACACAGAAGACAAACACTTTGAGCCCTGAAGATGATCTCAATAAAAGATCGAAACATTGGCACGATAAAGAAAATGTTTTTCTGAAACCTACATCACACCCGACCGCATCTCACGATATCTGAATAATTATCGATTAACGGTCACTAATCTCTACACATTT